TGGTACACTATTTTACACGTTTTTTTTTTTTAATGATTTATAACATACAGTATATGTTTTGTATGGTTATAACAAACTTTTAAAAAATGTAAATTTAAAAGTTGTTATGTTTAGAATCACACGAAAAACACTTTTTCTATTAATTAAAGAATTCATAAAAGTTCAACTAAATTTATATGAAATTTACATAAGTTAATACAATATAAAATAATATTAAAGAACAAGTATTAGAGAATGTGTTATTCCGTTGTCCCTTGATAATTTAATTAGTATTTTGATTTGAGGTACGGAAAATGATCTCATTATAAAATTATAATAATATGTATATATAATAATTAGATGTTTAAACAAAATTTAATATAATATATTTATTAATTAAAAAATAAATATAAAAGAGAAAAATTTAACAATATATTTAAAATATAATGGATGAATTTATAGAGAATTAATAAAATATATCATTGACACTATAAAGTTAACAATAATAACATTATCAATATTCAAAAATTAATTGATTGAGAGATGATTTTGATGCTAATAGATTAAATCGAAGAGATATAAATATAAAAAATAAAGAAAAATATAGTCATAAGATAGAAATAAAATATCATTTATATAATAATAGAGCAAAATCTTATTATAATATATAAATTTTATAGAATATATTTTAATTTAAACATGTACTATTATTAAAACAATTTAAAATTTTAACTGATATATTTAATTGTTAAGTTTTGAAAATTCTTTTTAAAAAAATATTATTTTAAAGACGTATCAATATAACTATTATTATTAATACTTACGTCGATTAAAAAAATGGAAACATTTAAATCAATGAGATCAAATTAACCATAAGAGATTATAAAATTGATGTAGTGAACTTCATGATCCATGTTTTATTCTAAATTTAATTATTATAAAAAAGATAAATGCTTTTATTGTATTGATAAGTATTGTTTTAAAATATATAAATAAATTTTTATCGTGTAAATGTTATTGTATTATTGTTGATAACTCACCAAGAATTGTATTATCAAAAGTTGCTTGAAAATTCATAGGCAAAACTATTTATTTGAAACAAACAAAATAAATAAATAAACCCACGTTTCTATTACCCTACTAATAATACCAAATCTCCATCTTTCTCCATAGTTAGAAGATTTTTCTCTATTTAAAATAGAAGAAAGACTTGTTTCAAGTTTAATAAATGCATCTTGTGAATAGAAAAGATATTTCAACTTTATGTAGTATACGTATTATTTAAATAAATTTTTAATGATTAGGATTTTTTTTGACAAACTATCATTAAGTGTTTTAGACTGAACTGAGGTTTAACCCTTTAGATTTTAGGACATCTAAATCTCATAAAAAAAATTGAATTACTAGCAAAGTATTTGGACTTTAATATAAAAAAATGAATTTTCACTAAAGACAGGTCGTTTGGATATTATTCGAGTTTATTTTTTGGTAGAAATAAAGTTTGGCCACTGAGTCGTCTCTTTGAACCACGAAATCAAATGAATTGGTTCATTATGTGAATCAGAATTGATTGGCTAAATCTAAAAAAAAGAATTCATAAAAAAAGTGATTACTAGATGGATGATGTGTCTTTGAGAATCCTAGCTAAGCAGTTTCCCAAGAGACAAAGGTTTCATATAAGAGTTTAGAATTTGTAGATCTTAAATCGTGACTATAAAGTCTAACAAATTGGCCAGAGTCATTTACATGTTCTATACCATAAACCTCACACTTGTGTGATTGATGATTTGATTGTCAGAGTGTTTATAAGGATACCTCATAAACACTTATAAAAATAACAGTTATATGGTCATACTGGAGTTTGTCATCACCATTATCACCAACACGTGAAGATAAAGATCAATCTAAATCATTTGACGATGTCTGTGGGAAAATATCCTTAAATGTTTTCACTTTACCTGTGATTTGATGACCATCCCCTATGATTTGATGACAACCCCTTAGCACACGAAAAGATGAAATTTTTCCCCGTGAAGGAGTCAATGGTCTTATAAAAGAACACATGGTGACCATTTGGAGACTGTAAAAAATGTCTAAAAGCAAGACAATTGCATGAGGTGGACCATTCGAATGAGGGGAACATGACAAAGTAGAGAGGATCAAGTCGATCGCATACCAATACCCAAGAGCACTAGTGATAACATCTCGACATCATCAAGGCGTGAAAACCATAGATGTAGGTCCCCCGGTTCCAAGTCTCTCTAATGCAAAAAAAAATCCTAAAACACATTCATTGTTGCAAGGGAGGAGGCACCAAGGAAAAATCAAGCAAACACATCATGTCTGAAGGAGCGTTAGGTCTATGGACTATTTCCTCGCTATCACAAATATTCTCATATAGGTTTCTACACATCTTGGCAGGGTATGCATATCATCACCCCCCCCCCCCCCCCCCAAAAAAAAGAAAATGAAACAGCAGATCATAATCACTTGGGTGATACCCACGTTATACCTAAAGGGCTCCCGAACTCTGAACAAAAAACGTGTCACCCTCTAAAGAAAAAATTGGAAGAGATAATTGTACCAACTTGAAAATAAGAATCAAAGTACGGTAATAATGATATGTTTAATCATCAACCTTAGGGATAGTGGACATGATCCCGTCTTTAAAAAAAATTTTAGTGTTGCTGTTAAATTTGATTGAGAGTTGAGATCCAAATCAAAAATGGCTTGCCTCGGTATAAACCATGAATTAGTGGTTAATAGTCTCCATATTTTCTTCACACATAGGACACAGAATATCACAATGTATCCCTTTTTGGCTAGGTTGTCCATAGTAGGGAGTATATTGTTCAGGATTCTTCAGGTGAGGATCAATTGTCTAGGTGTATCTCTTGCAGTCCAAAGCTTATGTTTTTTCCTTTTTCATGTGATACCAGAGGTGCCTACATAATGTAGTTGTAGCCCGATCTGACTGTGTAATGGTTGTTCTTAGTAAACATCCACGAGGGTTGATCCTCTTCCTCCAAGTTTATAATAGGTACATGTTTTATTGTGTCAATGTATGTAGGAAGGAATAATGTGTTTAGGACCTCCGTATTCCAACAATTTTCTTCCATGTCTATAAGGTCCCTGAATCCCCTTACCCTTGGATTCAAGGGTTCACGTGTTAGGAGTTTAAATCCATATTGTTATGGAAGTCAATTTTCTTTCCTAGTATCCATAGTTCTTACATTCACAATGTTCCAACAAATAAATTTGTTGATGATCCACTTAATGTGATAAAAGCTCATCCACGTGTAGTTAGGATTGTTCCCTAGATTGGATTTTAAAATGTCACAATTAGGGCAGTATTTAGCTTTGAAGATTTTGGAAATAAGGTTGTTAGGGTTTTAGTGAAATCTCCACACCTGTTTGGCTAGAAGTGATTCGTTGAAATACCTTTGGGTTGTAAACCGTATTGTTCTTATGTTTTCATAATCTGGCACAGCTTCTCCAATGAATTTTACTCCCCTCCCCCCCCCCCCTAACTCCTCATCAGAAGTTGCTCATGATACTTTCAATTTATTGCATATTCCTTTAGGAATGAAGAATGAGTTCATAATGTAGGAAAGAATGGCTTGAGTGATTGCATTTAGGAGAGGTTCTCTACCAGTATATGATAGACTATGACTATTATAGTTTTTTAGCCTTTTTCTAACCATGTATATGATAAAGTTGAAAGTTTGAGATTTAGAATGTGCCATCTTAGTGGAAAGATCGAGATGAGTCTGAATGAAGTCAATAGTAGATATTTGAAGCATATTTGTTATTTTGTCTTTAATGTTCTCTAGGATCCCTTTGCTAAGCATCAATTCATATTTCTGAAGGTTAATATTTTGGCCATAAGCTTCTTGGTAATTCTACATAATTTTGATGGTATTGTTGATATCATCATCTTTAGCTTTACTGAACAAAAGGCTATCATCTGCAAAGAATATATGGGTGATGTTAGGAGCATTTTTGGAAATAGATATGCCAAAAATCTTTGTTTTCTATTTGAGCCTGAATAAGCCAATTAGATAGGACATCAACACATATTACAAATATATAACGGGAAAAGGGGTCGCCTTGTCCCATCTCTCTAGTGGGTAGAAGAGGATCCGTATGAGAACCATTGATTAAGATAGAGAAGGAAACAATAGAAATACACATCATGATAGTTTCGGTGAGCTTCCTAGGGAAGCCCAACTTAACAAGAGTGTGCTTGCTAAAATCCCACCCAATCTATTGTAGGCTTTAGCCATATCCATCTTGATGCCAACATCATTTACTTTCCTTTTAGAGTTTATTAAGAAATGGAAAGTTTAAAAAGCTACGTTTGTGTTATCATGGATAAGTTTATTCTAACAAAAGCACTCTAGTTATCAGATATGATATGGGGCAGCATATTCTTAATTTTATTGGCTATAGTTTTTTGTCACAATTTTGAGAAAAATATTACATAATATAGTAGGTATATACTCAGCGGAAGTTTTAGGATTACCTTTTTAGGTATGAGGAAAATAAAAGCGTAATTTATATTTTTTGGAAAAATATTATTGTTAAGAAGATTTATAATAGTATTGGTAACATCGGTACCAACGATGTTCCAAAAGAATTGGCAGAAAAGGGTTGGTATGTCATTTGGCCCAGGAGCTGCCATAAGCTTCATGTTGGTCGTAGTCTTGTAGATCTCTTCAGTTGTGAAGGGTTTATTAATCTTATCCCTCATCTTTTGAGAGATTTTTCTATGTATCAGCAACTTTGGGTTATTGGAGGAATGGGCCTTATTGGTCTGAAATTTGTGTTTGAAAATTTTAGTAAAGCATTGGTAGATGTTCTCTTCATAATCAATAACTTCTCCCTCTTCTAGGATAAGATTTAGGGGTTAGAACATAATTTTCCTATTAATTAGGATTATTGTCATTTAAATTTAAATGATAGCAATTTTAGGGAAAAGTAGTTACTAGCCTAATTTAATTGGGACTCTTCTTACAATTTCAATAAAAATAAGTATGTGAATCACCAATAGGACTAAAAAACCTCTGGAAATTTCTAACGAGTAATGACGATTTCCGGACACAAGTAGCACACTCTGGTGACAATGGAGAAGCCCTCCGGCGTTCGATTCTTGGTTTCATATCACCAAGATTTGACGGAACAAGAACTGAAAAATGGTTTAAATTCCCAACCTTGGGGGTTAGAGACCTTTTACAGTTTAGGGTTTCACTGAATCTTCCAATTTCGAGTTTGACGATGGGTTGAGGAAGGACGAAGAAGAAGAAGGTAGCCTCTCCAAAACTCAATTCTCTGGGACCAGAAGGGTAAATGGGTGATAGTAATATTACTTTAAAAAACACGCAAGAATATAAGAGTAATATCGAAAGAGATGAATATGGAGTGAAAAAGGACCCCAACGACACACTTGGCATTGGGATATCAGAAGAAGATGATGACACTCCTAAGAAATTATGGGTTGATGTGATTAGCGAAAATAAAATTCTAGAAAACGGTCTTGCTATTGATTTTATTCCTCCTTAGATTGTGGATGGTGAAATGAAAGTGGTAATCTAACAAGAGGATGTTGTAGTGGAAATAACATATTGGGATTTAGCACTCATAATGTATGCTTTAGGTAAAAACCTCAGTATGCATGCGGTGAAGCAATTCATGACTCGTATGTGGAACTTTGTTTAATTGCCCAACATGTATTATTATGAAGAGGGATATTTCTTATTGCAGTTCAAGACTCAACATGAAATAGATGTAGTGCTCATTAAATGACCTTATACCATCATTAATGTCCCTATGATTTTGAAAGAATGGAATCCTGAGTTTAACTTCCAGAGAGATAGCTTGCGTATGTTTCCTATTTGGATCTAATTGCCTCAGCTCCCTCTCCATTTTTTGGGAGCTAAGTGTTTAAGTAAGATTGGTAGTATGCTTGATGTTGTACCCCAAAATTTTCCCTCTCTTTTTCAAGACATTCCTCACAAAGGATCTCCAATGCTCAAGGATTCTCAAGGAATTGATCAGACAAAATCATCTCTGAAGCACTGAAACTCCAAATTAGGGTTTTGACTGAGAATGACCAATCTTTAACTTTTGACCTAGTACATGACTTATTGGTTCGAAACCTGATCTCAAGGGTTCAAGTACGTCATTTTGACTTAATCGCATATTTCAAATCATTTCTCAAGATCAGTGAATTGCTAGTCGAAATTTGGTCAACTAACGAAAACTCAACTGATACACTAAAAAGTCAAACTTTGACTTTTTGATCAAATTTGAGTTTCAAATATCATATTTCATCAAGACATTCAAAATATGAAATTTGATCATCAAGAAATCAAGAAAATAAAAAATCCAACTTTGCAAGACTTAATAATGTTTCCAAGATGTTTTTGTACATGTTAATTTCATGACATCTTTTCACCATAATTCAATTCAAGTTGTTACAAGATTTCAAGTAAACAACAAGGCTGCATTTTTAAGTTAAAAATTGCAAGTTGCAATCCTAAACTTTGTCTTGTTTGAACTTTTCCCTTTGACTCAATCTTTGCCACTATGCTATCCACAAATATGTCTTGTCTTTGTTACAAGCTGCATAAATCTGTCCACAAAACCAGACTTGTATCATGCTACAAATATTGTTGTCCAGAAAAGCCTCAAAAAACAGATATGCTGCCAAGTTCAAGCCTATTGTACTGTCCACATAACAACCCAAAAACTTGTTAAAAAATAGTTTGTTGTCCTTATGATATGGTGGTAGAACCGACTATTATACTGGTTTGCGTTTTGTATTCGCAAATGTTACGGTAAGCAAGAGTCGCCACCAACTTTTATTTCATCCAACAAAAGAAAAGGAAAAAGAACAGAAAAAACCCTTTTTCGAGATGTTTCTGAGTACGGGGGGTAGATTATAGAAAGGGAAGGTGTTAGCACCCTTTCTATCTGTGGTTTTCCACGAGCTCTTAGGTACTTGCTCATTTTGAAAATTTCTTGTGTGTGCTTGTTTTGAAAAATTTTGTTTACTTCGTGATAACCCTTGTATTTGTCCTCGAGAGTGTGACGGAGTTGTTTTGGAAAACTGTTTAAAAAAGTGTTTGTGTGAAAGAGTTTTTGTTTTGAGCAAGTACTTAAGAGTTTTCTACCTACTCGAAAAATGTCTGTTCATTTTCGTTTCCTTTAGAAAGTGCTATCCTACTATTAAGGAGTAAGTAGCCCTATCGTTGGAATTTTAAGGGACATTCGAAAGGGACGAAATGGTCACTGAAGGCAACAAGTAAGGATACCTTAGCATTTCGAAGGGACTATCGTCATAAGATCATTTCTCGTAGGCATCTCGAGGGACAAGTAGGGACTATGATCTTTATGACGACTTTGAATTACGGGTCATTGCTAAGGTATCCCTACGTTTGAGGGACACGACCATTATTTCTGAGGCAACCAAGTGAGGCAAAACCCTAGGAGTGAGCATGTGCAAGTGTGCTTTTTTCAGTTAATTATCTTTGCACAATTAGTGTTATCTATCTTTTTAATTCTTGGTTTATCTTTCGCATACAATCCTAATGTCCATACATCTAGCAGTTTAATAGTTGTGGAAATTAAAAGTGGAAAAGAAAATCTACGTTATTACAAGGCTTTTGGATGGATACACCAATATTTGACTGAAAATAAAGATGCGGAAATTCGAAATCCTAATTAATCTATTACAAACTTAAAGCAAATACAATAATTAATCAAATAATGGAAATAATACGCGCGCGAGTAAATCAAACGGGGAATTAACGTCAAGTTTAGAAACAATTAATTGATGAATAAAGAAAAGATATTTTTTTGGATTTCTTGAGAAAAATAATTAATCTTACAAATTAACCTAATTTCTATTTAATTTTAATTATGAAAAAAAGAATTTAAGTTAACCTAATTAAACTAATTAATTAATGCAATTAAATATTTTATGAAAAAAAAACTAAACCTAATTTTTTAGTGATTTTCTGATTTTATCATTTAATTAAAAAAACAATGATTTTGTAAAATAATTTAAAAAAAAAACAATTAAGACAAATAATTAAATAAAAGAAATTAAAAGAGAATTAAAATTGGGTTTGGTGTGATGAGCAAATTGGGGGTGTGCTGAAATTGGTGTTAGGCCCAGGATGATGGCCCAGTTTGTCTAGCGCGTGATTCCATGAGGCTTCCTTCTGAGAGTCCATCATGTGGCTGCAACCTTGGAACGTTGGATCGGGCTGGAGATAGATCTGACGGTCTTGCATATGGGGCATATGATGGACACTGGATATTGAGGCGCGTTGGATCTGAAACAAGAAACTCATAAAATATGAAAATGTTTGGACCTAGGATCAAACCCAGGTCCCTCCCTTCCCACGCCTTGTCCTTTTCCATTTGTGCTGGTTAGTCATTCGTGTATATAATAACAACAATTAAATATAATAGAAAGTAAGGACAACTGTTGAGTTGTCAAACGCACGCCAGCAAGTGGGGCCCTTGTGATTTAAACGAGCCAATCAAACATAGAGAGAGAAAGAACCATTTAAAATTAGATAATGAAACGTTGTCTTTTTGCCACGCCATCCAGCTAACTGACGATCGGCCAGTCTAACCACCGGAGATGGTGGTTTCCACCATCTTCTCCGGTGAGGTTGCATGAAAATCAATTAAACAAAAAAATAAACAATGCCATCTGCCTTAAAAAAGTCCCCTGAATTCAAATCTGGCCTCTAAAAATGCTAATTCCTCACGCATCATTGGGTTCTTGTTTGAAACCCTAGCAACGGTCAAACATGGCACATCATGATTCTGTGTTCTATCCTTCCATGTAACACGTTCAAACACACACCAATGTCAGTAGCAACATGTTTACATGATTAATATCCATTTACATCTAGTAATTTATGAGTTTAAAGTCAAAGAAAAATACCAAACTATGGGTTGTTGAAAGGGGAATCTTTGTATGATATGGTCTTTAGGAATGGGTGGGATGAGACACTGAGATCTCCAGGAGGGTTCTAGGATGCTTGGCAATGATTGAAATTGGTTGTATCGTGTCTTGGAGAATTGCACCTTTCTTGAATTTTTTTGAAACTTTGTTCTTGGTTTGGAGGCAGCCTTCTCGTGTGTTTTTGGCCTGGGATTGTTGTGGTTATGTATTGTAGCATATTAGGTTAACATAAGTGGAAAGAATCCAATGCTTTGATGATAAAATATTCTCCCTTCAATTATTTGATTTTTGTTTATTTTTGGAATAAATCCACTCTTACTCTCTCTCCACGAATTTGCCAGCTTTTGTTGATTGTTATTTGATAAGAAAAAGATTTGCACTAAAATCTTTTATTATTTTGATTATTTATTTGATTTAATTTAATTTTTAAATGATTAAAATCAAAATAAATTAAATAAATAAATCCAGTAATACATGGAAGAGTGTTTGGGCGTGGACCATGTTAGAAGGAAGATGCAAGCATAAAAAGTTAGGCCCATTTGACAAAAAATGCAATTTTGGGTATTGTTGACTTTTGACAATTTTCCAAAAATGGCCAACTTTGACAAAGCATATATCTTTCAATTTTGACCCTAAGAGGGTGTTCTTTGACTTTTTAGAAATCTTAGAATGTCCCCTAATCAACCCTTTTGGTCTCATATCAATTGGATCCTCCATGTTCATGTAATAAGCTTTGACCCAAAAGGTATTTTTGTTGACTTTTTGGAATGACCTATAACGTATGAATTCATATCTTTTCATGAGTACATTTTTTGAGTTTGAGGGATGAATATGAGTTGTAGGTAATTGGATTCTCTTCAAAATTAGACTTGGATGGAAAATTTATGATAAAGTATGAGAAAGTTATGCTTGGTCAAAGTTTGGTTGACTTTTCTTGAGAAATCCTAATTTAGCAACTTTTGAGTTTTGATGAATTATGAGCATTCCTTGGGGAATCATGATCAACCCTTGATCAAATGATGGATATCACTTCAAAATATTGATGTTGACCAAAAATATTGAAGTTTGACTGTATGTGGGCCACAGTTGACTTTTGACCTAATACAATTGATTTTCAAGCATCTGAGCAGTTGACTGGGCAAACTTATTGTGCAAGGTATGAAACTTGACATGGATGGTCTTGAGAACATATTAGGACTATGGAGAGCATATGAGGCCTTTGGATCTCATCCATCTTGATGAAAATGGAAACTCTAGTTGGAGGTTCATTGCTTCAGGAGAGAGTTTGTCTGGTCAACTCTTGGGCATCCTCAATGAACATATGTTGAGTAAAATGGGAAGGAAAATTTTGGGGTACAACAGTCCTGTACAAAGCCAGCCCTGCACCAAGCTGCCACTCCACTCCAAAACTGCTACAAAACAGTCTTGTTGTACTGCCTCTAACCATGTCCAAGCATGCACTATATC